TCTGCCGAGGCGGCCCTCCCCCGCCCGTGTCCGCGAGCTGGTCAGCGAGCGGCAGGTGCCCACTGACCCCAGGCAGAGCCACCGCGGAGGCCAGAGGCACAGGCGCTCACCCTGGGGCGAGGAGGGGGCCGTCTGGGACACCGTCTGTGCGTGCAGCAGCTCCAGTGCAGCTTGGCTCTTCTTGGGCTTGCGCTCGGGGTTCGCGGTGCTCAGCTTCTTCGGGCGCCCGCGCTTCCGGCCAGCCAGCTTCCTCCCCTTCTTGTTCAGCTTCTTCTTGCGAGCTTTGGAGGGAGACGGCTTCTTGACGGTGGTCGCTCCCGCCTTGTCGTCCTCAGCACCAGAATCCTGGAGGACGGGGGGGAGGGGCTGAGTGCGACAGGACGCGCCCTGCCTGCCTGCCCTCCCCACGCGGGCGCGTGCTCACCACGGGGGCGTCCACGGGGCCGGCCACCCGGCTCTCGGGGACCTTGGTCGGAGTGGTGGCGTTGCTCTTGCTCTCCCGCTGCTGCCGGCGCCGGGCCGCCTCTTGTTCCTCCTGGAGAGAGGACGAGACCCTGGAGCATGACCCCAGCCAGGCCCTTCCTGCCCAGTGGGTCCAGCCAGCGCTGCCAGGCATGGGCGAGGACGCCGAGGCACAGAGAGCTCGGAGCACCGCACCCGCCTGGGCAGCAACGTCGCAGCCGCACCTGCCCAGGGACCCAGGCTGTGGGGAGCCCAGGCTGCCTCTCAACGGCCAGCACCTGGGAAGAAAACGCCCCGACCAGGTGGGACAGACCTGCGGCCCGGGACCAGGGAGTCGCTCGAGGCCAGCTCCCAGCCAGGCGCATTGGAACAGCCTCGCACAGGAACCCAGGTCCCACTGGACTGGCCAGGGTCCCAGACCCGGTCCCAGAGGCATGACAACATGTCAGACACAGAGGGGCCTGGGGGCCGACAAGACGGGACGCGACGCAGAGGGAGAAGGAACCGCCGCGTGACTGGGCCAGGCTGGGGTGGCTCGCTCCTGTGCCCGCGGCGGGGGTTTCTCTCCACTTTAAAGAGAGAGGGGAAGAGACCAGCAGCAGCAGCCCCCAGACCCCGTGGCCGACCGCGGTGTAGGGACCCAGGGGACCAGCAGGAGCAGCACCAGCCCCCAGACCCCGTGGCCGACTGTGGTCCAGTCCAGACCCTGTGGCTTGAAAGTCATGCCGGGCACATGTGCATCCGGGTCCACGACCCAAAGAGGAGGACGCAGAAGGGACTGCAGTGTGGTCATCCCCCTCGGGGGCTGTGTCTCACTTTCCCTGTCTCTGCCTCTGTCTCTCTACCCATCACGCATGTCCTGAAGCAGAGACCTCTTTAAAAAGGGAGACGGACACGCTGGGAGATCGTGCCAGCTCGTCACCTGCAGGGCGCTGGAGGAGGGTGCCATCCCCACAGTGCTCAGACTGCACCCCAGGGGCCCTCTCGGTCCTGGCCCGCCTGCAAGCAGCGGCAGGACTGCCCGCCCCGCGCACTCTCCAGAAGGA